AAAAATATTAAATATGTAAATTCAAATTTCTTTGAATCTCTCTAATTTGAAAGATAAAAAACAGAAAAGTGAAAGGGATTCTACCATTCCTCCCGTCTCCTTCCATCTCCATTGATAAAAAAAATGAAACACCAAGAAAAATATCTATGCCTTGCTCTCCTCCCTTTCCTCTCCAAATTCACCGATTCAAACAGTGGCTTAAAGCAAGTCACGAGTCATGAGCGATTGTATGCGAAGACCAATGCGATACATAAATGGCCACCAATAGGCAACTTCATGGTTACTTATTAAGAAAAAAAATTGTCATTACAATAACAAAGAATTAAGGACCTTGCTTTGTGCCATCTTCTTTCATTGATACTTCCAAAGAAAGACCTGAGTCAACTCTAAAAGTTAAACTGCAATCAAAAGAAAAGAAATTTCATCTGACATTACTTTTCCTATTCCACTAAATGGTACCCTTGGAAAATATTAGTAATTGAGTGCAACTCATGGATAGTGACCAGGGGGAGACGACCGACCTTGACTGTACAACGCGCATGGATGGTGGGAGACGACCGATTATTTTTTTCCAGCAAAAGAAAGATGCTGTGCTGTGAACATACGTCTCTCTACAAAACTTGCTTGTAAGCATTTACCAATTTTTTTTTTTAATGAAAGTTTTCTCTTCAAAATATTTAAAATTTTAAAGATAAAGTTTTTAAAATTTTACTTATAATATAAGCTAGAAAGCAACCCTAAAAAAATCCACTACCAAAATAAGATTAAAAAAAAAGAAAAAACTGTTGCCAAACAACTGACAACTATTTGTCAATCAAAAAATTACCGTCACATATCAGTGAAGTAAATACTGTTTCGTACCGGCTGGTATGTACCGGTTTTGAGAGTAAACCGAAACGAAATAAGAATAAATTTCGTTTCGGACAAAATCCGGTGATTTCGGTCAAATTTTGGTGTATCGGCCGAAATTTCAGCATACTGACCAGTACATCAAAATTTAACCGGTACAATATGCAAGAATTAAAAAAAAAAAAAAAAGACTTCCTAACCAAAACGACGTCGTTTTGGCCAACTCTGCAATTTTGATCGCGCAAATCCTCTTCTGTTCTAGCGTCCAGTTGTCTTATCTTTCATTTTTTCAGTTGCCTGCACAATTCAAATCAATTCAAATTTCAAAAGGGCAATTTCATTTTTAGTCCTCAATTTTGATATTTTATATAATTTTTATCCTTAAGTTTTTTTATATATTTTTTTAATCTATTTTTCATATTTTTTTTAGTCCTTCTATTAATTACTCCATTAAGTTTTTTTAAATACACACATTTTTAATCCTTTAATTTAAAATGGATGGACAAAAAAATGTATATATTAAAAGTTAAGGGATTAAAAATTATCATTTTAAACTTATTTTTAATTTATAAAAATATAATAGTCTTAAATATTAATATCTCTTATTTTATTTTAAAATTTGATATTTAATTTATAAAAATATATATTTATAGTGATAAATCTGAAATGGTACGCGAAAAATTCCGGTATCCGATACGTACCATTCCAGTGACAAAATTGATACGCATACCGATACGATATTGACTACTTTGTCACATATTCAAGTCTTCGTGGTTTAACTTTACTCCGGAAACTTCGTGCCTGCATCCTCTTAATAC